TTGCTCTGCTTTGCTCTCAGGGTATCCCCATCATGGGATATCTGGATGACCTTGTGCTGGGGGAACAGTCAGCTCAGTTTCTTTCAGCCAATTTATGATGTACAATGCATACCCTGTAGCGATTTGGCTGGATCCTAAATCTCCAGAAATCACTGCTGGCTCCAACTCATTGCTTGGTGTATCTGGGCCTAATCTTGGATACTGTCCTGTCTAGGGCCTTCCTTCACCTGGTCAAACACCAGTCTCTCCGCTCCCATGTTTGGACCCTACGGTCCAGGAGCCCCCAACAGTTTTCTTTTGCATGGACATTTTGGGCCTAATGTTGGCCTCCTCTGAGGCAGTCCCATATGCCCAGTTTCACTTCAGACCGTTGCAACTCAACATTCTGGCAATGTGAGACAAATAGACTCTGGATCATTCCATATGCCTGAACAACAAGACCAGTCTTTCCCTAGCATGGTGGATCACCAGTCCTGCACTGGATTCGGGAAATCCTTCCTTTGCCATTGGTCTGGAAGGTGCTGCCAATGATTGCCAGTCTGTCAGATTGGGGAGGTGTCTTAAACAGCCTGTCGGTACTCAGCCCCCAATCAATATTCTGGAGCGCAGGGCAATTCAGTTGTCTTTTCAACAATGGACCCTTTGGCTGGGAGGTAACCTGACCAGGATCCAGTCGGACAGTAGTTGCTTTCATCAACCATCACTGAGGTGCCAGAAGTCGTGCAGATAAAAGAGAAGCAGACCTGATTATGTAATATACAGTATATGTGGAAGAAAATAAAAAACTGTATATGACCTCTTGTAGCTGAGCAGGTCTGAATCAGGAACAAAAAAAGTTTGGTTCTCCTTAGCCAGTAGCCGTTTTGCTTCTTGTACTGATTCTTGTGTGATTCATAACATGATGCTTCAATGGTGGGTGGGGCACAGACACAACATGACTCCCACTAACTCATGGTCCTAAAGTGGGTTTCCACTTTTGCAGTAAAATTTTAGAAAACCCCTCTATATGATTGTGTTACCATTTACTGTTTTGTTGCATCAGGCAAAATGGCTGAACCCTAGTTTTTCTGACTACCTTCACAGTCACCTGACCCTATAGAAAGATAGAGGACAGGAACGTTTGGAATGTGTTTTTCTCATTAGCATACAATGCAGAAACCAGGATTGTAATCCTTTAACCCTTTGTTAGGTCAGTCAGTGTTCAAATCTACTTTACAAATTGTAATGAAATCAGCCAGGAGGCTTGGAATAGAAATCTAACAAGTAAAAAGCTATTTTCGAAATATTTTGTTTAACTTATGCAATATGAATAGAAGCATGTAACAAATATAAAGTAGGTGTTATCCCAGTATGGCTGCAAAAGTGGAAATAAACTTTAAACAGGACTTGCATAGACATTACATTTTTGTTGTCTGATGTAGGAAATCATCTAAATGACATATTAGCAGCCCTCCAGCTTCAGAATTTGAAACAAAATTGTTAGTAGATAAAATTTAGACCTTCACAATAGAAAGTTTGCTTGGACTGGAGTTTGCCATTCTAGAAAAAAAAGGCCGTCTACTTACCGTATTTTTCGCTCCATAAGGCCCAAAAGGAGGGGGGAAATGTGCCTGCGTCTTATGGAGCGAATCCCGACGCCCGAGACATGCAGCTTCGGGCGCCGGGCGAGTAGTTTTTTGTACATTTAGCTCTGCTAGAGCAGAGCTAAATGTACAGTAGGAGCCACTGCTCGTTTAATACGAGGGATCTAATGAGATCACTCGTATTAAGACCGAGCAGCAGCGGCGATCGAGATCACTATAGAACAGACGAAGAACGGACGTTCTTCATCTGCTCTGTGTGATCACTGAGACCGTGGCGCTGTAATCACAGCGCGACCTGTCTCAGCAGTCACTAACTGCAGCTTCTGTCACTGAAGTTGTGACAGAAGCTACGGTCTGTCGAGTGCTCCATAAGGCGCACCGGACCTCCCTGTGTCCTATGGTCCGGTGCGTCTTATGGAACGCAAAATACGGTAATTAGATGCAATAAGAACTTGGGTATATGTTTTTGACTGATATGGTTCCACTTATTAACGTCTAATGCACACTATCCAACTCCATGTAAGTATAAGAGTAGTTATCTGCTAAGTTTAGACAATTGTATGCTTTTTCCTGTACTGGGCTTAGTCGCGTTTACACATGTTTAGGTGTGTAAAACCGGCAAACGGACCTGGAATGCAGACATTTCTAGTTTGGGTAAACTGAGCTAGACTGAATGTGCCTAAAGTAGACACTGCTGCACATCTAGGTGTGCATTAAGGGATCTATTCACAAAGCTGCTGAAGGATCCAGCTGTAGCTTCGGCTGATCCTTCAGCTAGTTTCGGTTGTGGGAGCCCTTCGGTTCAGTCGAACCGAAGGGCTGCTGTACGGGCTATTTACTATAGCCCGTACAGCACCCGAGCGGCTTATTATTCGGCTCGACTGAGTCGAAGTGACAGCCAAGCGGGGCGAATGACAGCTGGGCGGAGCCAGACGTGATCTTGGCTTAAAAGCCAAGCAGAGCATGTTTGGTTGACCGAAGTACGGCTGATTGAAAACAATTTATGGCTGAATTCAGCCATACTGAGCCATAGTGAATAGCCGAATGTTATTCACACTTTGTGAATAACCCCCTAAGTCAGGGGTCAGCAACCTTAAACACTCAAAGAGCCATTTGAACCCGTTTCCCACAGAAAAAAAAACACGAGGAGCCACAAAACCCTTTTGACATCTAAAATGAAGATAACACTGCATATATCCTTTTTTAGCTTTATGCTATGTATAGCATGTACTGTATATAGGTATATGTGGGCTTCGTAACGCAGCTGCAGGGCTTTGTAACGCACTGGGCTCAGGGCTTCGTAGTGCACTGGACTCAGGGCTTACCCGAGACCCCGCAGAGCCCACCTGAGAGTGACCCTGCAGAGCACAACGTAGACCCTGCTCTGCCGCATATTCCACCAGGGGGGGTGCCCAGACCGGACCTCACAGGGCCCCCACACAGCCTCAGGCCCTGAGGCCCTGGTGATAGATCCACCCCTGGACAGGGAGCCGCAGCAGGGGGATGAAAGAGCCACATGCGGCTCCGGAGTCGCAGGTTGCTGACCCCTGCCCTAAGTCATAGAAAAGCATTGCATACAAAAAGCAGTACATTTTTTTCAATTCAGTGGGCACGAGGCCTTAGTATGCAGTAATAGTTCAGATCCAAAATGTATTAAATACAATTTATATGTTGACAGATCAGTTCCAATAAAGAAAATATACAGCATGGGTAATCTTGCATTTTGAATATCACACTGTGTATCTTTCTGCGTCTCTTCATGATGCTAGGAAAAATATGTGAAATGTAAATCTTTGGGTGTAATTTATATCCATCTGTGACGGCATTTGCACAGTGCCTGTGCATAAAAGAGGTCTGTCTCTGATTGATGTAAAATATAAGAGTATTCTAGTTTTCGCCCAGGCTGGAATACTAAGAAAGACTAGTACACCGTTTATGTTGGCATAGGTTTAAGCCCACAGCTCCTGGCTGCTCTCCAAACACTACAAGTTTTATGTCCATGTAACAGTATGAAATAAAACTTCCCAGGAAAATAGGGTTTGAAAATATTTCTGCATCTGTAACCTGTATTGTCTTTTAAAACGAAGTATTGTTGATATAGAGGGAGAAACACAATTGCCTTGATCTAGAGAGGTTACTTTGAGAGTGTATTTTATTTTAATTCACTTCCTTATTAGCCTGACAAGACTTAGCGTATTTGCCGGCGTATAAGACGACTCAGCGTATAAGACGACCCCCCACTTTTTAAAATATAGGATTTGGGCTATACTGGAGTATAAAACGAGTATAGCCCAAAATAATATTTAAATGCACTCACTAACCTCCATGGCGGTATTCCCGAGTGTGGCTCGGGGTTAATTTTCAGTACCATAATCGGTAACCCTGAGCCAGACTTGGGATTACAGTCTCTTACCTTGTCCACGATCCCCGCAGTGTCCTCCATCTTCCGGGTTCCGTCCTTCAGCTACATACAGTATACCGCGCTGAGCCTATCACGGCAGGCTTTGTATTCATTAATACAGGCTTTGTATTAATGATATCAAAGCCTGACGTGATTGGCTCAGCGCGGTATACTGTATGTAGCCGAAGCTACATACAGTATACCCGGCGTATAAGACGACCCCCGATTTTCGGCCGAAGTTTTTGGGTCTAAAAACCCGTCTTATACGCCGGCAAATACGGTACAAAGCATCAATCATGTATCTTTCTGTGCATACTGGCATTGCTGCTTTCTGAAAATGGGCAATCAATTCCATTTTTTTACTAAAGGAGTCCAGCATCTTCACTTTTAAAGTGAAATTTGCCTTTTCTTAGTAAATGGAATAAAACAAAGTAAATTTTCGCTTTGTAAGAATACCCGATAATGGGCAACAACAAAAAACAGAATTTTGATTGGATGATTGAGGTCAGCGCAACACCACTTCATTCACTAAGCTAAGTAAAATGTATTTTTGCATAGTGAATTTTCACCTAACTTAGTGAATGAGGAGAAATTGTGCTCAATGAAGTCATCCAGTTTAAATTTCCATTGCACACAATTGGACATTCTTTGCAAAGTGAACATGAACTTTGTTTCACCTCACCTAAAGTGAAATGTCTCTTTGTAAGTGAACATGCTATACTCCTTTATAAAATTGTTTACACACAATGGGCCTGATTTAATAATAGATGTATGTATGCAATCACACATTTGTGCTGCTAGACCTTCTGAGTCCTGGTACTGCGCTGTACTGGACCTGGAAGATCACTGAAAAGCACTGTGGTAGCTTTGGCTACTATGGTATTTTACAAGTTCCCTATGGCCCTTACAGATATTATATACAGTATCTCAGCTTTAAGAGTTAAGACAACACAGTAGCAGTTTAGCACTTCCAACATTTTGTTTGTAATAACCTGTGTTTTACCTGTGTTTTACAGTCAGTGATGAAGAGGAGTTGAGTTGCCAAGATGAATCCAGCCCTACGAATTCAGAGCACACCTCAGACACAGAGGTAATGCATGCTAATTTATTATACGGTAAATCCGTGATTGTTTTCCTTTAGTAACTGAGCTTAATTATTTGGTTAAAGGGAATAGCTATATCCATTCACCTCTTTTTTGAAAGTAGATACTCCCACCCATCCTTATAGTCATTTTTCAAGGGCAGTAAAATGGGAGCTGCCACTGAGCACTACATTTGAAGGGTCCAGACTTGAGTTATCATGATCCTGACTTAACTACATGCTACACCATTGACTGGGATGAATAATTCAACCAGTAAACTTTGATAAGTCTGAATTCCCATGATGCATATTGTTTGAAGTTTGAACTTAGGATCAGGTTGATGGACCTGACCAACAGAAAAAAAGTCAACAGTAGCAGCTGTCATATTTTTATCCTGACTTTTCCTTTTAAAGTGAAACTGTCCTGGTCTAAAATGTATCTAAGATATTATTTCTGCTAAAGTGTGGCATTTGTGGGAGTGCAGGTATCTGCTTAATCCCTGCGTGCCCACAGAATTTCCTTTCATCCTAAACCTAGGTTGTACATGGAGATATGACCTTTTCCCTGTCCCTTTCCATCACTTAGCCCTACTTCCTGTTACCCAACCATCAATTGCTGGAGCATTAAAGTGTATGTAAACCCTAACATTAAACTTCTCTTATTTGCTCCCCTTTGGTCTGTTATTGTTAAGCAACGCTTTCAGCTGTGTATTATCTGTTGGATATGTGGAAACAAATACCGGCTGATCCTGCCAGAAATCTTGTAAGCTGACAACTCTGTGCACTCTGCATGTGCTGCCCTCTTATCAGTACAATACTTTGTTTCCAGCTATCTCCGTGGACTACAAAACAACTCCACATGTCTTAAATAAAGGAAGAGAGGTGTTCTGTAGTCCTTTCCTAGGTTAACAAACCTCTCCTCCACAGATACAGTACAGTGAGTGAGTGTTGTCACCCTAAGACAGAAAGTGGAAGGATCACAAGGTGTAAATAAACCTGATATAAAAAAGAAAAGTAATGCAGCTGCCACATCAAAGTACTGGTAAACTGCAATATATCTAATTGTTGTTCCTGGATTTAGATACCATTTAACTACTCAGTTATGTCCTGTCTTACAGTAGCATTGGAGACTATCACAGGTACTGTACTTGCAGACACTACAAGGTGCTGTACTTCAGAAATGTTGTCCTTTATCAGAAGAGGTATGAATAGTTCTATTACTTGCCGATCTCCTCATGGGCCAAGGACAGCTTTTTACCTCCTTTAAAGTGACCGTAGATCTGACATTTTGAAAGCCTTTCCTATATTGATACAACAAACATGTGTTATAGTCTAGGGCAGGAGTAGCCAAAGTTCGGCTTTCCAGCTATGGTGAAACTACCAATCCTATTAGGGACTGCAAGACTTTGGCATCCTCAGGCGTGACTTCGAGAGGCAAATGCAGGACGGGATGTGTGGTTTCACTACAGCTGGAGGACCAAAGTTTAGCTACCCCTGGTCTAGGACACAGAGAGTAGGTTTTTAAATGAGATGGGATATTGCAGGTTTTGTTTAGATCCCTAAAATTTTAGGAATTACGCTTTTTTTTAAATTTAAACAAAAGGAGAATATTGGTTACAGCTGAACTGTTGTCATAGGTTTTCCTGTGCAGACATACACACTGAAAGCATGCAACCACTGTCTATGACTGTCATGCCCAAAGAAACAAATGACTCCTACATATGTATAATCCTCTTTACCGCCAACATAATAATAAAAAAGGATTGCTCTTTTTTTTCCGCTGTAATATAGCTGTATACATTCATATAGTTTGTAGTGTTTATTTTAAAACAAATATGCCACAAACAATAAACAGGAGAAAATGGTGGTACACAATCCCCATTTTGCCTTCTGTCACATACTGACAGGTTTTTAATATACTGTATAGTGAAAAAGTAAATCACTGATGTTTTACATGAAAGTTCAATTTATGTGTAATATCTAGCCTTATGTGTTATGTGGCGTTATTCATTTGCCCCATGTAATTGTCAGATTTGGCTTCCTCTTGGTGGAGTGTAATTCACTCATGACAGAGCGCTGGGTGGTTCCCCTGGGATTGGGGATATCCATTGAATGATCTGTCTTGTTACACTGAGCACTGGCTGTTCCTCTTGTCCTCTGTGCTTCCCAGAAAAAAAAACGAATTTCATGTTGTATTACAGATAATAAACACAATCTCTTATCATCCATCATCCACCATGCCCTGCTGATCAGCTGCTTTCAGCGATTTCTGAAACGAATACTAGAATCGGAGCTCTTTCTTTATACAATTACTGGTCTAAGAGCAATGTAATGCAGTTACATTTATGCTGATGCACACTTACATGCGTTGGATAATTAATATTATTATTATAGTATCACATCCACTATGGCTTAGGGTACCATTCTGAGTTCCAAGTGCTATGCCCTGATAGATATTTCAGTGTTTGAGACTGTATATTACAGTAGAGAGGGAGTAGATAGTAAATCAATACATGGGTGACATTACATGATAAAGTTACAGGATTTGACCTGACTGGGTGTCCCATGAGCATGCCGTTTTCTCTAATCAGTTTGTATGTCTGATACTTAAGGGTCATTTATCAACATCAGTCTTGGTTTGTTTACGTGCGACTACTACACAATGGAAATTATGGAATGTGATAATTGGTGGATTATAACAGCGCTGTTATAATCCACCAAGTACCCCAGTGCTCCCTGCACAGACCTTTGCCACTCATAATTATTGGTCCTCAAGTGTTGATAGCAGAAGGAAAATACATTTGGAGTTTTTGGAAGCACAGTGGAGAGAAGTTCATGTATTTATTGCATATGTATCAATGTAAATTTCAGGTACCAGGAAGGCTGACCCTCTTGGTTTAAAAATGTCTGAATCAGTACTGACCCAGAAAATGTATGCAGATAAGGACTTATGACTTTGTTTATCTGCATTTGTGCTCCAGGTCAGTAATTTAAAAGGTATTCCACCAGTAGTAACAGCCTGTCAACTAGCATATTTACAAGGAGTGACCATTGGAAGCCTCCATGCCCATATTCTCTCATTGCAGTTTTACTGTATTGCTGTCAAGGACTACAAAGAATGATTGGGGGTCCTTTTGAGACATACCAGGAAAAGAGGGGATATCCATTTTCTGTGGTATCCCATTTAAGGGTTTGTCACCACCAGTTGCATACAGCACAAGTAAAACGCATGGACATTAAACATCCATTGTTTTCATTAGTGTCTGTTCCCACATGCTGCATTTGGATTGACCCTCAGCTTGTCATTCAAGTACATTCTTTCAAAAAAATATTTAGTGGAATTCATTAATAGTGTTTATGGCACTCTTTAGAAGTCCATCATGCATCTGCATGAAAAATGTTGGTGCTTGTCCCAAATGTATGTACTATGTATTCAAACAGGTTCATAAATTTGGCGCAAGTACCGCCATTTGCTGTTTGGAGATGCATGCAATGAGGATGGATTGTACATACTAGAAATCCCATCCGCAGTGCAGCTCAGTAACACTGAGCCTAATGAAATCACACTGCAAAGAGCAAAGAGGTAGGACCAACAGGCAGAGTACTGCAAGAAGTGGTACATTTTCTATGTCACTACAGTGCAGTGTGTCTGCATATCATAGTCGTCTGTATTTACCTTTACAAATTTGAAGGTGTGATTCATCATCACTATGGATTCTAAAAAAGGCTTTGTTGTTGTGGCTTTAAAAATAAATGCTTTTATACCAAAAGTCCTCATTATAGAAAAAATTGGTGTAGCGTAAAGGCTTATATGAAAATGAAAAGTAAATGTATTGCCCAATATATTTCATTAACTTCTCTTTTCCTAACTGCAGAAAATGTTGCTGTTTTTATTAGCATAAGCATAAATTATGCAGCACACACTTCAAGCAAATTGTAGAATGTGCTGAGTATAAAAATATCAGTGAAATAAGCAGAAAACCTTTGGGCCAGGAAAATCACCATGCCCAGAATAATGCAGAGTAGAACCATTGTACTTGGCTGCTTTTCTAATAATGAATAATAGAACAATTATAAATTACATTGTTTTTAAAAGATCTAGCTATCTATTTGTCTATTTGTTTACATCTTTGTAGATACATACAGCAGAGTTTGCAAAGTGAAGTATCCCATACCAGCCAGTACTATATGCCCATGTTGTGCCCTTTAAACTGGTGAAAGCTGATTAGCAGTTATGGGTTATTGTACATTGCACTCATCATTGCCCTTTGTGCTATCTTATTAAGTTTAATAAAGCAACAGCCAACCACTGTTCGGCTATTCACTTCAGGCTGGTAAGGCTAATTTCAGCCATACATCGGCTGAAATCAGCCGTACATCGGCTTGCTTCACGTGGCTTCGGGTCGGCCGAACATGCTCAACATGTTCAGCCAACCCGAAGTGCAGAAGGAGTTCGACTCAGCCAATCCAACATCAGACTTCTCACTGCTGTTCGGGCTATTCTTAAAGATGAATAGCCGAATGCCGCTGAGCGGCATTCGGCTCGGCTGTTCTGCTCGGTCCCTCAGAGGTACCGAGCAGAACAGAAAAAGAGTGAAAAAAGTAAAAAAAAGTAAATGGAAAATGATTGTGCGGAGCTAGCAGTGACAGCTAGCTCCGCCCAATAGTTTCCTATTGTCCGGCGGCTCTGCTGCTGTAAAAAAAAAAACGAAAAAAATAACTCTCCCGTGCGCTCTGGGAGCCTCCCGCTCCCGGCCGCCCAGGAGAGAAGCACTGATGTGTCTTTTTTTCTTTATTCTGACACGTGCGATGTCGGAATAGAAAAAAAAAAAAGAAGCTACGGCCAGATCCTTCGGCAGCTTTGTGAATAGACCCCATAGAGTGGAATTTATCAAAACTGGAGCAGACAAAATCTGGAGCAGCTGTGCATGGCAACCAATCAGCTTCCTTCTTTTATTTTCAAATCTTAACTCTAAAGGTGGCCATACACTTTACAAGTTGTAAAGTAA